AGGAGACAAATATCAGAAAAGAACTTTTACAACTTTTAAATCATTAACTAAACTATAAAATGTAATGATGCATATTATTGCATGTGTGATTTCTTATATTATTTATTTATTATTCACTATCACCTAGAAATGGTGTGATTTTGTTGGGGTTTTTATTTTTCCTATTAACTATCAATATTTTTAACATTTCATACATTTATATAATTATAAAAAGAGCTAAACCAATGCAGTATGTAAAATGAAACGCTGAAAATTCCATGCTGTAAATTGTTATTTGTTGTGGAATAAAGTGATTATTATTATTATTACACAAAGTTTAGAAATAGGATTGCCGACAATCCACCTCAAAGAACTTTTATTGAGATGCACGTTGAATTTTCAGTTCACCTTCAATAATGAGAATTTTAGACAGAGAGATGGCACTGCCAAGGGATCACCACTGGGTCCTTTGCTGGCTGATTGTTTTATGGCAAAGCGTGAAAACTCTCAACCCAGTCAAACCATCGATCATTTCGACATTTATAAAAGATACGTAGACGACACTTTCGTTATCTGCGATAAAAACGTAATTCTTGACGATGTCTTATTTGCTTTCAACTGCCATCCTTCTTTACAATTCAACATAGAAAAGGAATCTGAATTAGGCATTCCGTTTCTTCATGTGTGCCTTAGTAGACGTATTGACGGGTGTCTCAAAAGATCCATCCACCGGAAACGTACATGGAACGGACAACTGACTAATTTTTATAGTTGGGTGCTTATCTCCAGGAAAAGGAACCTAATTAATTCACTCTGCTTCAGGATAAGAAACATTTGTAGTTCCGATTGCGTGGACTCAGAACTTGACTTCCTAAAAGCTACGCTTGCAGAAAACTGTTACCCAAACCGATTTATTGACAGCAACATGAAAGATAAGCAGTGAGAACTGGTCACTGACTTAGTTCCAAAGAAAACCTTATTCATGAACTTGGAATTCAAAGGTGATCAAGCTTCAGATATACTCAAAAACCGTCTCTCTAAGGCAGTCAGTAAGACGTTCTTCACAGCAAAATTACAAATGACGTTCACCAGCCGCAAGTCGTTCTCCATAACTGTAAAAGATAAGCTCCCCCATCTGGCCGCTTCCATGTGCATCTATCAGTTCACCTGCTCTTGTGGAGCAAAGCACATTGGCCATAACCAGAGGACGCCTTCCACATGGATACGAGGACATATTCCAGCATGGTTTTACAAGGGAGAAAGGAAGGCTGTGCGAAGCTCTATACTTGGACACCTGATCGACTCCTGTCACTCTGCCAACCCTGACCATGATTTTAAGATCATCTACCGAATCCATGCTAACTTGCCACATTTTCTTCATTACAGACTTCTAAAGACAGTGGACGCCCTGGCCATGCATGAATTTAAGCCAGCCCCACCTTTGCATACAAAAGAAGTATGTACAGTCCCTACTTCTGCCTTGGTCGTAGACGGATAGACATTTATTTATTTAATTAATCTATGTACCTTTCCCTTATTACTACAATGATTATTATTATTATTACTATTCTCACTTGTCATTCTAGATCCAAAATTGTGATTTTTTATTTTTACAATATCGAATTCTATCTTATCAAATTTCCCACCATGTTATGTAACATTTCATGTTCGCCTACTAATTCTATAATTATGCACCCCTTTCCAACATCTATACACCTTTTGTATTATTCTATATATGACACTGATTGTTTTGCTACTTGACATTTAACTATGATTACAATCACAAATATTTTAATTGCATTTCACACTACTATTATTTCTTTAAAAAAACTAGTTCCCTTTATGAATTTAAACAAAGCAATAAGAAGACGTAATTTGTCTGAATCGTGTAATGTGTATTTGGGCAACACATTTAGAACATTCCGATCACACCGGGACTTGTCAAGTAGGGGCCTCAGAGCATATTCCTAAATGGCTCCAGAAATAAACAGAATCTTCAGAACCCATTAATGGTGAGAACAGGAGGCCTAGCTCCTCTACTGCAAAGCATATTATAGGGACAGGACATAAAATTGACGTCAACACATCTTTTAAACCTATCGATCCATAAAACGTGTTTGGGAGAGGGCGTATCCTAAAGTTTGTGGAAGTCCTAGCTGGCAATTCGGAAGTTTAAAACACCTCTATGCGATCAAAGCACCAATTCGTCATCACACTAAACTTTCCTTGGTACCTTGATACCAGACAGGGTAGATGTACTATTACCTCTCTTATTTGGTTTATTGATCTTCATTGTTATTTTGACCTTCAATATATCCTTATAACTTGACCTAACTTGTCTATTTTCTCACCTCTTAACTCTTTATTAATTTCATATATTCCTATGACAAGTCCATGTGTGATAGGATTGCTCCAAATGTGTTGCGCAAATACATAACACACACACATTCTCGACCTCGAGTATGCAGACGATATCGTCTTGCTGTGCAATAGCATGCAGGCTGCCCAAATCGCAATTACTCAGTTGGCGATCAGTGTCTGTAAGTATGGTATGTGCTTTGCACCGTCTAAGTGCAAAGTACTGTTACAAGATTGGCAGGAGCCTGTACCTGCACTCACTCTTGCGGGTGAACCGCTTGAAGTTGTTGATAAGTTTGTGTATCTGGGTAGTTGTGTGAGTGCTGGCGGAGGAGTCACGGATGAGATTTCCAACCGTATAATGAATGCTAGGGTGGCATACATCAACTTGAGCCACCTCTGGCACCGTCGCGACGTTAGCCTGACTGTCAAAGGTCGGGTATACAATGCTTTGGTGCGGGCTCTTTTGCTCTACGCCTGTGAAACCTGGCCTCTCCGAGCTGAGGATGTGCGGCGACTCTGCATGTTCGATCATCGCTGTCTCCGCAGGATTGCTTGCGTTCGATGGCATCATCGCGTGAGTAATTCTGAGGTTCGGCGGCGTGTGTTTGAACACAGTGGAGATCACCATTCATTGAGTGTCGTCATCTGGAAACACCAGCTCCGGTGGCTTGGACATGTGCTGCGAATGTCATCCCAGAGACTTCCGTACAGGTCTCTGTTCGCTAGCCCTGGAATGAGATGGAAAAGGCGGAGGGGTGGTCAGTCCATGACGTGGCGTCGTGGGATGAAGGATATTTGTGCTAGATTAGCATCGGTTGGTGCGTCACGACTCCCTAGTTGGGGTCCGCGAGATAGCTCGAATCCATGGCTCGAAACGTTATCGGATATGGCCAAGAATCGTAATCAATGGCGAACGTGCTGCAATTTCCTTCTTTCTTCCCTTCCTGATGATAGTTAACGAATACTGTTTGAACTTGCCAAACATGACTGTTTTCCTTCCAGATGAAGTTCTTTATCCTTTTTCTGCTTATATTTTTACTTTCAACCTATGTTGTTTTATTATTATTTTGTGGCGCATCTTTCTTGGTGCCATATTGTACCAAGATTTTTTCTGCGTTTAAATAAATAAAAAAAATAATACACACACGATTCAGACAAATTACGTCTTCTGATTGCTTTGTCTATATAATTATTTTATGCATTCACACCTTTGATTCAATTCCCTCACAGGATATAATTTCTCACTATAAAAAGCCATATATGTATATATGTATACGATTGTGCAGCTTGATGATAAATTCGTTGAAAAGAGTCTCTTCGCCGAATTTTGTGTTTTTAATACTTCTCAAATGTTGGTTTACAAAGGGATTTGACTAATCAGGAGTTTGATCATGAAACAACTTTACTTCAGTTGGAGAACCAGACAGTACTGGACAGCTGCCTCATCCTACTTTAAGACTTGGTATATCAATAAACAGCAGCACATAAACTCATCAGGGGTCAACAGAACAGAATAAGTTATATGTCTGTTTTCGAAATAGAACTTTGCACCGATGTGCTGCAGTTCAAGTCGCCACACTCCACTCCATGTAGCACACAAAGCAAGAGAAGAAAGTAGGAGAAATGCATATTAGAGACAGTAAACGGAGGTGTGAGACAAAGGAATAGTAATGTAACAGCAGAAGACAAGGGCCAGGCAACAGAACGTTTATTACGGAAAATCAACACGTATTTATAGATTTTGATGTACATTATTCTAGGTTAATGTTAGTAGAAAATACAGTCTGTTGATTGGTTGTTTCTCACACAAAGTTAACCTTGCATCTCTTGTGGCTGTGTCACTTCATCTATATGTTAACTGTATCCGCCTGTCCATCTTGACCTTTGACCTAAATTACTGTAAACCAATTCGGCTAGCAACCATCTCTCACCACAACATGACTAATATTTGATACATAAACATTGACCTCAATTACTGTCAATCAATTGGCTAGTAGACAGCTCTCACCACAGTAGTAACGAAGAACAATATAGTTTTATTGGAAATAATAAGTCACAAGGAGTCGATGCATTTGCACCAGCCATCGAGAACGATCACTTTGAGCCATATCACCAATTGTCTCTAGCCTTCATTGGTTTTTACAGTCCCGAGAACCCCAAACAGGAAGTCTGCACCTCCCTACGTGGCTTAGACTAACTGTTGCAGATTTCATTGACTGATGAGGCCATGTTTTGGTTTGACCGCCGCTAGCTCTTTTCCAGCCTGACCCTATACCAGCTAACATTGCCCACTGTCGAGGAAAGCGATGACTAGGCATACGTAATACATGTCCTAACCATCTCAGTCGATGTAACTTCACAGCCTCGTCTACTGATTTCCCCTCCTTACCTAGTACTCGACGCCTAACCTCAGTATTGTTCACCTTATTATACCACTTCACACGGGAGATAGAACGCAGGCACCTATGATCAAAGAGACCTAATCTTTTCATGTCTTCTACTCTCAATGGCCAGGTCTCACAGCTATGAAGGACGACGGGGCGGACTGACGAGCAGTACACCCGCCCTTTGGTCGATAGTCGGATATCACGTCTACACCAGAGACGGCGTAAACTGGTATATGCGAAACTAGAATAAATTATATAACACAAAGTCATAAATTCAAATGAAGTCATATTTATTTCGAATAAAAATTAAAAGATTTCAGCAAATTATTATTACGATAATATAACAAAAATACAAATCCTGCAGATAAAGTTGTATACGCTAAAAGTATACAAAATTGTAACATTGATGAATACCAATTCAGATTATCATATGTCCCGGTATAATAATTTAAATTTCCCTCTTCCGGTAAAAAATTCAACGTATTAAAACAAACTGAATTTAAAAAGCCTGTTAACAAATTTGAAATAATAAAATACAGCATACCTTTAGAATTCACGCATAAACAAAGCGGAGAATACACTAAATGTATCAAAAAGTTTTGTTTAAATTTAATCAACAATGAAAACATTGTAGCGTAGACAATAAAAGCGGTAACTTTAAGAAATATAATGCTGAATACATAATTCGCATTAGCGAAACGTCTAGATATCATGTCAAAACCATTCAGCATGTATATACACATTAAAGCACCTAGAACAAATAAACCACACGATAGGAGAAGATTACGTAATCGAATTTTTGGTAGAGATCTTGTTTTCACTGTATCTACATCAGTATCCTTGTTGTTGGTGTAGAAATAAATACGTACTAGACTTGAAGCGCCTAAACCCCAAAAATATAATGCTGCATAACCCGGTAAAGAGATGACACCTTCAAAATTAGCCATCAAAAGAGAAGTTGATCGATTCTCGTCAATAAACTTCAGTGTAACTGGATTAAATTGCCATCTTGGCTTAAAATATTCATGCCAAACTAGAATTGGTAAAAATTCGGATAGAAATAAAAATGCACCAGCTAGTAGAAAATAAAATTGTATTTGTCTTTTCATTGAAAAACCTAATAAATATTTACTAAATGTATTTTTTGTTGTAACTATCAAGGAAATAGCACGAATTATACCGACTGTATAGAAAAAATTCCAATGTACACCATATTCTGTAATACTTTGTTGATAATTTGTCATTTGAACAAAAAATGTTCTCAGCAAGCCTAAAATTATACATGGCGCTACAGAATTCAGCATACACTGGAGAAAATTTTTACCAGGCGGCTTATTATTAGGATGAATATTCATTTGAAAGGTTTGCTTAGATGCTGATATACCTGAAGCAACTATGAAAAACCCAGTACCAACATCCATTAAACTGATACTGTCCAGCTCAGATTTAGCAAAACGTCTTGGACATATTGGCAAATCAATACAATAGATCATAACACAACTTATTACATAGATTTCAGATCTTAAATAAGCCACCATGGTATCAATTGAAAGTGAGTTTAACTCACACGGAGACTGGAAACGATTAGCACTAGGTAATATTGTCCAAAGAATACAAATTATAAGACATACACTGGTAATGATAATAATATATGAAGCGAAAAAGGTTAAAATCAATAAAAGTGGTATTAAAATGAAAAAATAATCCATAAAAGTAAGTATAAATAATCGATTTTTAGACTTTAACTGAAATTGTGTACAAACAAGAAATCGTAACCAATGCATAATAATTAGAAATATAGAGATGCACAGAATTTCTACAACAGAAGTATAACCAACACGTTTTGTAAATTCTTCATGTTTCAATCGATCTGATGCGTGCATCTTTATTCTTTCCCCGTGTGTGTGTGTGTGTGTGTGTGTGGGCGTATCTTCTAATTTTCGCGCCGTTTGTTTTTGTTTGAATAATAATTGTTCAATTGTTCAATGAATTCTACAAAAAAATGAAGAAACAAGAAACATTAACCATAAGCAAGTATAAGAGAGGAAACTTGTAGCTTAGATGGAGATGCTTTTTTATATGATTGTGTCCTCTATGAGATTGAAGCAAGCGAATCAGCGAAGAGACTCTTTTCAACGACCAATTTATTATCAAGCTGCACAATCATATATATATATAGTTTTTAAGAAGTTATTTCCCGTGAGGGAATCGAATCACAGGTGTGAAAGCATAAAATAATAATAATAATAGTAGTAGTATGAAATGCATTTAAAATATTTGTGATTATAATCATAGTTAAATATCGTGTCAGGTTGTAAAGCAAATAATGTCGTAGAATGTATAGAACTTGGAATGGGTGTGAAATTATAGGATTACTAGGCAAATAGAATAAAAATAAAAAAGTTACGTAGCATTGTGTGAAATTCGATAACTTAGAACTTAACGTTACAAAACAAAATTGATTTAGAATGACAAGTGGAACAAGTGAAATAATACCAGGGACAGCTCATTTCCTCGATGTGAACTTATTAAGGAGGACCGATGGAACTCTGACGAGATCAATTTGTCGAAAGCTGTCATGGAAAAGTCATCTGAAAAATTTCTACAGCTGGTAACCCATTGGTCTAAAACGGAAAATGGTCCAGTCGCTTGCCACTCGCATTCGGCGCATATGTAGCCCTGATACTGAGAAGGATGAGTTAAATCTTTTGAGGAAAATCCTAATAGAAAATGGATTTCTACCACGTTTTATGGACAAGAATATACATTTAAATCTTATGAAACGTCACTTATCATCCGCACCCAAGAAAATGCTGTAAATGAGCTTGGAATTCAAAGATGACTCAGATGACAACATCATTAAAAAAAGGATATCACAGTCCCTGAAAAGAACATTCCCTACTGCATCTTTGAGAATAGCCTTTACCAGTCGACCATTACTGTTTAATAACCTGAAGGACAAGATCCCGCTGTTGACCAAATCTATGTAAGTTTATCAATTCATCTACTCGTGTGGAGCTAGATATATCGGTCGTTCGACTCGAGTTTAGTCCAAGAGGCTGCAAGAACACTATCCTGCATGGTTACGAAGAGGTGGAAGTGGAGCACTAAGAAGCACGATCATTGAACATCTTGTCGATAATGATCACCCTATCTCTATAGCCTCCACCTTTAAAGTTACCTGCAAGGCAAAAAGTAATTTACCGAAATCCCTACATACCCGACTCATCTGTATTGCTGACGCCATCTTCGGCCATCGGAACAGAAAAGCCAGATAGATCTCTGTGTACAGAAAAAGTTCGTTCAACACCTCCAACTTTCATGGTCTTAATCCCTCTATGCTAAAGTGTGGTAATCCCTAATCATATGTTGGCTCTACTTAATTTTCGTTTCGTCTATTCAATTTGTATACTCTTTCTTTATTACGTCGATTGTTACTGTTAATATTCTCATTTTGAACTGTCCTCGGTATTATTTCATTTGTTCCACTTATCATTCTAAATCAATTTCGTTTTGTAACGTTAAATTCTACGTTATCAAATTTCACACAGTGTTACGTAACGTTTTTATTTTTTATTCTATTTACCTACTAATCCTATAATTATACACCCCTTTCAAACATCCATATGTATCATTCTATATGTGACATTAATTGTTTTACCACTTGACATTTAACTATGATTACAATCACAAGCAGTTTAATTGCATTTCATACTACTACTATTATTATTATTTTATGTATTCACACCTAGGGTTCAATTCCCTCACCGGATATAACTTCTTAAAAACCATATATATACGATTGTACAGCTGGTTAATAAATCCGTTGAAAAGAGTCTCTTCGCTGAATCCCTTAATTTAATTTCCTATATCTGCCAATGAAAATTTTCCAGGAATTTAAAGCAGGCGATGACTGTAAAAAAAGGCGATAATATTCAATGAATTCATAAATTTCGATAGGAGGACTCGTCAACTGAATGCTGCTCTACAAAAATTATTATTTGTACAATTTCCTTTTAGGGTTAAATGCATACAGACACATAAACATTGTGACAACAACAAATAAGTATCAATTTCAACAAATATACAATCTTAAACAAAGCAAGAACAACAATTGTACCAGGATAATATGAGCTCATCTTTTATTATTTCGAGGATTCTTCTCAACTGGTTACAACCTGAACGATGAAAAATATGAATTACATTACATTAAAGATTTGAACATAATTTTCCACGATCACAAGGAGTAATTGGTAGGAAGTAAAAGTAACATTAGTCCGGAATGATTTAACTAATTAAGAGTTACAAACACTGACTATTTATAGAATAATTCAAATGAACTGTGATCAATATTTGACAGTTTATAAATATTTATAGAATAATTAGGCAATTAGGCTTGGAAACAAAAACAAGCTGTTGTATATTTTTTTGTTGTCACCAGGGCAGTGCAAGATTCACCACTGTCTCTTTCTGCGTACATAGATTTGGTTTCAGTCGTCTGATAGCAATTGCTTCAGCAAAGCGTACCAAGCTAGGTTTCTTTTGCTTGTTGATTATTTTGAATGACTTCAAGTTGTCTACATTATGACCAGTGTCTAATAGATGACGCGCAATTGCACTGTTTAATACTTGTGGACCTTTCAGTCTCAGGTTCTTTGGTATGTGTTCAGAAATGCGGACAATAACCCTTCTCTCTGTTCTTCCAATGTATGTGCTTTGGCACGTACATGTAAATTGGTAGACACAGGTGGAGGTAACATGACAATCTTTAAGACTTCAAGTATTGGTTTGTAGGGATTTAGTTGATTGGTTACAGGATTTGATCATGAGCTGACATTCGTTAGAGAACCATTGGAAAACCAGCTAGGAGTACTGGACATCTGTTTCGTCCTAGTTTGGGACACTTCATCAGTACGCACCCACCACATGGTGTTTGAATCCAGGACCCTATGGTTACAAGGCAAGCTCGTAGACCATTAAGCCACTGGGACCCAATCGAATGGCCCATGAATTCTAACTTCTACCATTTCACGATATAGCGCAACCACTAGCCAATGTCTTCGATGAGTAATTGTCCTCACACCCGACCTGCTGCATCCTACTGGTCACAACTTCCCACTAGACTTCATTTGTAAGGATTTGATTTGCTTTTCGACTTTGACCACGGATTGATATCAGTTAGAGAGCTATTGCCAACCAACCGCAGAGTAGTACTGGGCAGCTGTTCCATCCTACTTTCAGATTAATCATCAGTACTCACCCACTGGGTTTCAAACTTATGACTTGCCAGTTACAAGGCGAGCTGGTGGTAGACCATTCAGCCACTCACTGGGACCCGATTTAATGGCCAGTCCATGAATTCTAACTCGAGAAACAAATCAAATCTTTCCAAATAAACTCGTGAAAATTAATCTCATGCTTGCTAGTGACTTGCTAGAGGATGGAGTTTCCTGGAGCTCAATTGAGAAGTCGTGACCAGTGAGATCCATCTGGCCAGGAGTGAGGATGGAGTTCCCGCTGATGACATTGGTTGGTAGTCATGCTAATGGTGTGGTGAGAGATGGCTGCTAGCCAAATTGGTAGACAGTAATTGACGTAAATGTCTATGTCTCAAATATTAGTCATGTGAAAACAAGATCAAAGATGGACAGCAGACTTTGCGTAGGCGGATACAATTAGTAGATAGATGATCTGACACTCAAGAGACAGCAACAAAGAGATGAAATATTAACTTCTAATGAGAAACAACCAATCAGAAAACTGTTTGTCAGCTAACAATAATCTACAGTAATGTACACGAAAATCTATAAATACGTGTTGATTTCATTAATAAACAATCTGTTGCCTGACTCTTGCCTTCTGTCGTTACAATGGTATCATGAATTGGTAGAAGTTAGAATTCATGCGCTGGTCATTGAATCGGATCCCAATGAGTGGCTGAATGGCACGCAAGCTTGCCTTGTAACCGGAAGGTCACAGGTTCGAACCCCCCTGTGAGGTGAGTGCGTACTGCAGATGAGTTCGAAACTAGGATGAAACAGTTGTCCAGTAGAACCTACTTGGTTTTCAATGGTTCAACAACTGATATCAATCCGTGGTCAAACTCGAAAGGCAAATGAATATATCATCTATAAGTTTTGTGAATGATAATCTGTTAACGTGATCATTGAGTGAATAATATTCATTAAAGTACTACACATTAAAGCATAAACTGGTGTTGTTGTGGTAGAACTGATACAATTATAAACACTGAAATACAAGTAAACTTCGTAAGACAAAAAAAAAACACAAATAAATAAATTTAACATATTTAAACCATATAGGACTAAACATATAACAAGATTCTAACATGTTTGATTTAAACTATAAAGATCGTTTGAATACTCCTCACCAAGACTAATACTCAACTATGATTTTTTTGATTTGTACATATCCTATGAAAACTAACAGTATGTCAGATAAAATGATAATGATTGACTGACTGACTAGTTTCAACAAGGAACTTTGCACAGATGTGCAGCAGTTCGATTCGACACACTCAACGGAGCACACAAAGCAAGAGAAGTAGGAGAAATGCAAAATAGAGACAGTAAACAGAGATATAAGGCAAAAGGAATAGTAACAACAAAGAACAATATAGTTTCATTGGGTATTATAAGTCACAAGGAGTGGATGCATCTGCACCAGCCATTGAGAACGCCAATTTTGAGTCATATCACCAACTGTCTCCAGCAGCCACCGGTTTTTACCGTCCCGAGGACCACAACCAATCGGTTAGTCAGTCTACACCTCCCTACGTGGCTGGCTTAAACTAACTTTTGTGGATTTCATTGACTGATAAAGCCATGTTTTGGTTTGACCACCAGTGGCTCTTTTCCAGCCTGAACCTACATCAGCTAACATTGCCCGTCAAGGAAGGCGATCAATGACTAGGCATACGTAACAAATGTCCTAACCATCTCAGTCGATGTAGCTTCACTTCCTCGTCTATT